AAGTAGCATTGAATATACTGTCCCCGCTGGAATCCCACTTCAGTTACTATGGTTTGGTATTGAACTTACTCACAGTTCAGAAGGATAGAACCAGAGTCAGTGAGAGTGCAATGAGGCATTCCGAGGTTAGAGAGAGAGAAAACGGGGAAAGTGAAAGGTATTATTTCTAATGTAAAAATCCTCAGTTAAATACAGAGTACTGGAATAAGTATTCAACTGCAAAGGATAGTTGAGTGTGTAGCTGGATGAGTATCTAGAATAAGTAAGCAAATATCCATATCAGTAAGTAATGATTGACATGCTGTCAACCATGGAATAACTATGGAATAATAATACAAGTTCACTGAAATGGTGAACTTGTTGCACTTCATGTGCAGGAGTGCAGGGAGCACGACACTGGCTATCCAGTTCTCTCAGATAGGTAATTTGGCAAGTCAGATTTGGTAAAAACTAAGGTGGTTCAGCTCCTGGGCCTCAGTCCCAAATGCAGCAGCCTGCTTTCCATCATCAGTATCCAATCCCATTTGCTTCTCCTCACACCCAGGCTCAGCTTCTTCAGACTAATCAAACCCAGCTCCATGGGGCTCAAACATCAGGAATCCCAGGTTATGCTCCTCAATATGCAATCCCATATACTATTCCTCTAGCTGTTACTACCAGTTTTAGTCCTATGCCTTACTATCCCCTTATGAGCAGGCCTTCTCAAATGGGTCTGAGTGATCCTTCCAGTGCTCACTGCTATTCATGCCAACTCAGCTCAGATAATGAATGAGCCCTTCCAAATTCCAAGCTCTTCTCACCCATGTTACTCTCAGACTCCAGCAGCAAATGTAACCATGCAGGGTGACCAAAGTAAGTAAACCTTCCAGCCTATTAGAATATTGATATCTTAACAGCTGATTTTGGGGAATTGCAGAAAGGAGATCCTCATGCAAAAACCTTCAAGCAGAGCAAATGGGTATGGGTTTCTGTTGGTAGTGCTGTTTTCAAAGGTTCTATTGGTGAGAAGTGGAAATGTTTAGGTGTTTTAAAGTGTTCTTCTTGTGAAAGATTAGTACAGCCAAAAATCAAGGCTCTTCAGTATCAGAAAGGAGTTGGATGCACAACTCCTCACTGTCCTGGAATACTGCAACACATCTCATGAACTGCAGTATCATATTACTCACAGGTAGCTCAAGATGGGGGGGGTGTTTTTAATGTGGGACCATATAGGCAGTCTCCATCTCATCCTTATTCTCTGTGCTTGAATCCTTCACATACAACCAAGTATCATGGCCCTGGCCTTGCCCCAGGGAAACATTAGCTAGAGAAGGATTCAGATCACTCTTGGGACAATCTGGAGTTTATTTCTAATCTCAAGAATAAGAAGAGGAAGACAGATCAAGGAAATGATAACTTTGAGGAGATTCTAGAAGCTGCAGGCATTTCCAACAGTCAGGAGCCTAGGGGCAAACATAAAACTCAGAGCCAAGGTGCAGAAAGGGGTAAAGGCAAACAGCGCCACAAGTAAGCAGTAATTTTACACTTGTTTTCTTTTTTTCCCTTCCACTCATGTTTGTAGGTACTTGGGTGAAGGCTCACTATCACCTACAGACTTGTATTAAATGTAGAATCATGTGTTCAATTATTTGTACTTCTAATGTGATTTCAGCAGACTTGTATGTAAATAGCCCTGAAATAGTGCATTAATGTGAATATATCAAATTATGTGCTTGGATAGACCTTAGAATTTATAGGGTACAATGTGCTCTATGCCTTAGGCCTTGTGCATTTGAATGCAGAATATTCAACTTAAGCCCGAGGATTAAACAGCGGTCTCGGCAACCATAGGCATTTAGCTGATGTAGGGCACTTGTAGAATATCAGTACTATGTCAGTATTCAGACATATTCTCAATTACAAGCCTTTCGAAGTCAAACAATCATATTTAATGTGTCGGAAATAAGTTTTATTGAGAGTTACATTTTGCCGAGCCTCGGCAAGTTAAGCTGTCAAGCGCAGGAAAAAAAGTTACTTGGACGTAACTTTCAAGTTACTTGAATAAATTAAAAAAGTTACTTGAAAAGTAACTTTGCGCACACTCGAGATCCCATACAGGGACATGATCATTCAATTGCATTATCTCTTGATGGCACCAGAATTGCTTCCTGTGCCGATGGCAAGACAGTCCGAATTTGGGATGCCACTGCTGTAGGAATTCCGTTACAGGGTCATGGTGACGAGACAATTTTAACAGTTGAGTGTTTTTTTTTTCCTAATGACGCGACCAATATTGTTTCTAACTCTAATTTCACTACTATCAAGGGATGGGATGTTGCGGGTACCATCGATGAAGACAACTCTATCAACAGTCAGAATACTAGGAACACCTCAACTCTTGATAACCTAAACCAGGTTGATAACACATCTAGGACTAAAATTGACTGTAAGTGTGCCTGCTACAAATTTTCTGGACCTTTTAAGACTTATATTATTCCAGTGAAAGGGAATTGGAACCTGTCGTCGGATGGTTGGATAAACATTCCTTCATGCCTTGGTGGAATCATCTGGATTCTACCTCAATATCGCAAGAACCTCTGGCGGCCTCAAAATACTTGCATCATTTCCAACAATGGATGCACTAAACTTTCATTTGAAGGCTGTCTATTTGGGGAAGATTGGGCCAAATGTTACCAGGGGTAATTGAAATAGGAAGTCTATTGAGTATGTATCTACTATTTTTTTTTTGGTTTGTTGCTTCAGGTGTTGTCTTCTCTTTTTTGAATGTTGTTTGCCAAACGCAAAAATTGTCATGTAAAGTTGTGAGGATCAAATACTCATTCGTGCCTCTGATTGAACTTGCCATTAGTACATAATACTACTTACCGTTCCCTATCTGAATGCTATTTTGTTCGCTCACCCAAAGCTTAAACTTACCTTGGGCGATCGATCGCGGAAGAAACTCAGTACAGCATCAATGCTAACTAATCCACCTTGCACCAAACACTTCCAAATGAACAAATATTCTTTCAACACACGCTCTTATACTCTCTACATTCATCTTAGTTTATTACTCGGGTACAAACTTCGTTTCATTCACATTCACAGTTATTCCTTCTTTCCGTGATCGAAACATCATTACAATAGCGTCTCACCTGGAAGCCGAAACCAGATTAGTACCTACCCGGCCACTCCAAACGAGTAACTCACCCAATGCACTTCTCACAAGCGAACACCCCACCGCCACCGTCTGTCTCACACTACTCTCATCCTCCAAACTCGGATTCACCTCCATCAAATCCAACGCAACCAACAACCCCGTCTCCCAAACCGCCTCACAAATATAATGACCCTCCCTAAACGTCAACCCACCCCTCACAGGCGTCCCCGTCGACGGAGCCACACTCGGATCCAACGCGTCCACATCAAACGATAAATGTATAGGTAAATCCCGATTCGGATTAACATGATCCAAAGCCATCTCTACGACCTTTCCTATCCCGTACTTGTCCACCTCATGCATGCTAAACGCTTTGATGCCGTTTTGTTTGAGGATGCGTTTTTCGCCTGCGTCGACGTCGCGGAGGCCGATGTAGACGATGCGAGAGGGTTTGAGGAGGGGTTTGATCCAGGAGAAGGTGGATTGGATGTGGGTGTCGGATTGGGAGGAGCCGGAGTGTTGGGGGAGGCCGAGGAGGAAGGAGACGGGCATTCCGTGGATGTTGCCGGAGTCGGTGGATTCGGCGGTGTTAATATCTGCGTGGGCGTCGATCCAGATTACGCAGGCATTTGGATGGGCGCTGAAAAGGAGTAGGGAATGGGGGAAGAAGGGCAGTTAGGAGGAGGGAAGCGTAACTCGTCAGTGGGATAGATAAGAGACTCACTCTAAAGTCCCTGAGATTGTTCCCATTGCCTGTTCAGAGTACGTTAGCTAAGAATGTCTCGGAAGATGATAGGGTAAAAAAACACGAAGTTTTGACTAAACCATCGCGCAACGCTTGTGCGCGTCAACATACGCGTGGATCTCGGGGATGACTGGTCACCAATAGCTTCCCCCGGTCAACCTAGTCGTTAACCCTAGTCCTCCCTTCCCCCGACAACTGACTTGGTAAACTCACCAACGAATGATCCCCACCCAACGTAACCGGTAACTCTCCCTTCTTCGCATGTCCGCCAACAGCTTTCGCAACCTCCTGAGAAACTTTCGAAACATATCTAGGATTCTTAAGTTTCCCAATGACCGGATCCTCCTTTGCCGAAATCTCCTCAAACTGGTGATGCCCATCGAAATTAACTTTCCATCCGAGTCCTTCGAGCTGTTGAACTAGCCCAGCTTCGACGAGGTGAATTGGGCCTTTGTCGACGCCTACCTTGGGCTATAGAAAGTCCGAGTTCATTAGGGTTTGGATGTGGCATTTTGCGATTGGATGAAAGCGTACCTGACCTCCACTGCACAGACAAACGCGTTTTTTAGTCTCCTACTCGTGTTACTTTCGTGTCTACGTACCTAAAAGGACATCCAACGATCTATCATACCCCCGACGAATCTAGTCAGTCGACGACAAGAAAAGAAACCGCCATGCAACTCACCGAGGCAGTCTTTGGTCCTTGCAAAAATTTCGGTGTAATATCGGACATAATTCAATGAAAATAAGGATATACGAAATGGTATTCGTGATGCTCTATGCAAATCTGAACTCGAGCTAAGAATTCGATACGCGTTCAGCGAGATGAGTGTAGAGGGAAAGGAGTAAAGGTTGAGCCAAGGTTGAGCTCCGTATTTATAATTTGCACATCGACATCGCCATGGAAGATCCGGATTGAGGGGGCATAAGGTGGATACCACTGGGCACGTCACCCGATTGGCTACCACTGTATGGATATGAGTGGTGCTCCCGTTTATTGCAGTAAACCTTCGCAGAGGGCGGAGAAGCTGTAATTGATGAGCTTTTTGCTGTAAGCTGCTGTTGTCCAGACACCTTTATTTCATACAGACTCAATTGGAAACGGTTTCGCCGCCAGGGCACATGGTGTAGTTGGTTATCACATCCGCTTAGCATGGTAGTGAAGTATCCTGTTTAATTCTATGCGGGGGGTGCTGGGTTCAATTCCCAGTGTGTCCAATTTGCTCGTTAAGACATCTGTTTTTCCTTTTTTCATCGACCGAAGCGCCTCTACACTCTAGTCTCACTCATTTGGCGATGCAGTTCACCATCTATCTTCCGAAGTCTCATGACCCAATCGAAACTACGTTCACAGAGATCAATTCCATCCGGTAAATTGTCAAACAAGTAATACATCCATGGTACAGTTACACTTACAGCACGAGCAATACAACTACTGTTACAAAGCATACGAAAGCAAAAGATTCAATAAAAACAAATCATTAACTCCCTCTTCCCCTACGCCAATCTCCCGATCTCTTACAAATACTCTGCAAACTTTCTCGAATCCCTCCAATCCCTTTCCGTCTGATTTATCCAATGCCCCAGATCCCGTCTACAATCTACACACTTATCCCCACCTATATCCTGCCTCCTCTCAAGCATCCACGGGAATCTCGCCAAAACACTCCGACTCCCTCCCCACATCCCCCCCACTCGAGAACTCAAATACGTCGCATTCGCCCCCGTAGCAATCGACGCTGCGACCGCCGCCGCCGCCGCACTAGGGCCCAACACAGACGCCAACCCCGCCGTCCCCATCCCCATCCCCGACCCCGAACCAGAGTGACGCAGCCCGTGTCGGGTACGAGGTCGAGGCGGACCCTCGAACGAGAATGCAGATGCGAGTTCGGATATGATGAGCGCGTAGTGTTCGTGCCAGAATTCGCAGGGCACAGTAACTCCGCCGTGATGTCGAGTCGGACCAAATCGGGTGAATTCTTTGGAGACGAGGGTATGATAGTGCTGTTGGTATTCAATCTTGGAAAGGGGAAAGTATGGGTTTATCGTGAGCATATCGTAAGGCGGAGAGGAGGCGGGCGGAACAACGTACCCACGCAGCAAAGATATCGGGGGGTACACAGCTCAGCATGGTGTATGGCGGGATGTTCAACGTCGCCTCGGCGCTTTCGTTCATCATATCCGTATACTTGTGTCTTGAAGCGTACAACAAGACGTCGACGGGATGTTCCGCGAGACATTCTCTACACGGCCATCGGCCCTATCAGTCTCTCTTTTCACGTCGCACTTGTAAAATAAACAACGCACCTCATCCTCTGGTTACACACCCCCATAGCCGCAAAAATCTCATACTTCTCCACCGCCTCCGCCAACTCCTTCATAACCTCCCACTCGACCTCTCTCAAATCCGGCTGAGGCTGCAAATACATATACTGCAACATCAGCTCCAAGACCTTTGACGTTTCAGATAGCGAAACAATCTCATCGTCGACAGTGCCGACCGTAGACCCGCCCGCATCTGCGAATACCTGCGAATGCATTTCGAGGTTCAATCGGTGGACTTTGAACAAGACCCGGTCAGACGATTGGATGGTTATGTCTGAGGATACTAGATTGACTACATAGAGACGGGTGCGGGAACGACGAAGAGGGAATGATTTTTTTCTCGTAAGTCTTCACCGGGGCTTTCTACCAGTCGAAACGAAACTGAGACGTACAGCGTTTCGATACTGGGAGCGAGGAGGGAGATTGAGGCGGGGGTGTTGATTCGGAAGAGTTCATGGTTCGAGCGGGAGGTTGGAGTGAGGGATCAGAAGGATGACAAGGCTTGAGACCGACTTTTATATAGCAAAGAACTATCATATGACTGGAGTATATTCAATTTCGTCGTTCAGCTGAATCCACTCCAAGCTCTTGCTGGAATCCGGGTACGTGCGTAACTGAGGAACGCTTAGGGACGATAAGGTTCACTGTCGTGAGGGTAAGTCGAGCAGCACCGGTCCGAAATATGACATCGTAAACGTTGCGGTCAAAGCTCGAATTCGCAATAAGCGCCCAAGCTTTGTCTGCTAGAATTTTGATCCGATGATCGTCCCAGAGCCAGAACGGGTCGGAGCGAGTCAGATCAATTTCGGATGTCGCTGGATCGGGTCAGGGCCTGGTCATGTAAACTCATTTATTTCAACCAACTTATTTAGTATGCTCAACTCATGAAAACAGTTAAGACATCCGTGTTAAAAAGATGAATTTCTTTAATTTCATTAATGAAAGTGGTGAACTTGGCTTTTCACGGCATCAGTTGACATGTCAGCGAGTTGACACCAAATTCGGTTCAGCTGAACTTCTCTCTACTCAATTTCTACTTGATGTTTGTTCAGCTTATTCCCATACTCTATTTCACAACAGTATAACTTTTCCTTTCATGAAATACTATTGTGATTGTGCACGCTACTGTAAAACATCAAAGGAGGTATCCAGAAATACCTGGTACAGTCACAAGCCATATCACACGGCACCGTCATTCTCAGATACAAATGAAGCTGCGAGGAATTCTAAGGGATGTTGATTAGAATCTGGAGCTCAAGAAATCCACCAGGTGCATCTCCTACCTCTTATGTTATGGTATAATTTATTTAATGAAATCTAGATCATTGATGAAAGGGAGAGCAATGCAGGTCCCTCCTTCCAGCACTTAGATAGGTCAGGGCAGCAGCAGGAAAGACAGCCTGGGCCTTCTATTCCCTCTGGAAATCCACCATATCACCAGGAAGACAATCCAAGACTGCAGCGTCTATCGCCTCACTCGAACATGCCTCCTCCTCCTCCTCCCAAAAATCCTCCTCCTCCTTCTCCTCCCGAAAATCTACCTCCATCTAGCAATGCTGAGCCTGTATTATCAGAAATAGAGGTCATCCGGACAGCCCAGGAATTCATCCGAGCACTACAGAATGCATCACTTGACAACGGCGACTTGGATGCTCAATCACTCCAAGACCTTTTGAATCCTGATCAGCATCCTCTAGATCTTGACCCTGTTAGAGACCATGACCTTCTTATGTGCCTCAAAATGTTTATTGCACAGCAGGATACATATTCCTCCGACGAATCATATACAGCCAATATCAGTGCTGTCCACAATGCTTATCCTGATTCTAAATTGTATTCACACTACCGTATTGAAAAAGAAGTGAAAAATCTTAGCGGTATCCAGCCTATCCTTTGCGATATGTGCCCCAACTCTTGCATGGCTTACACAGGCCCTCTTAAAAATCTGGAGCAGTGTACACAGTGTGGCGAACGTCATTATGATGAGAAAGGAAACTACCACCAAAAGTTTTATACTATTCCAATTGCTCCACAGATCCAAGCACGAAAATGGAATGAAGAATCTGCGAAGGAGTTGGACTATCTTCACTCTCGTATGCCAGATCTTCTCCAGGAGTATGATGGAAAAGGTTATGTTGATGAGATCAATGATATCTGCTGTGGTACAGATGTTTTGGAGGCGATGAAGAAAGGACTGATCACAGATACTGATACCGTCCTGATGTTTTCATTTGATGGCGCACAGCCGTACAAATTGAAGATGTCAGATTGCTGGGTCTTCATCTGGATTCTCATCAGTATTTCTCGAGATTGACGTTATACCAAAAACACATCATTCCTGCTGGTATTGTACCTGGTCCGAATCCTCCCAAGATTCATGAATCTTTTCTCTTCCCTTCTCTTCATCATGTTGAGGCGGTCAACAAGGCTGGCGGTATCCCAGTCTGGGATGCCTACCGAAGGGAGCAATACATGACACATCTTTTCATTGTATTTGCTTGCACTGATGGTCCTAGAATGGAACATTTCAGTGGATTTGTTGGCCATTCAGGGAAGCAGGGCTGTAGATTCTGGTGCGGGTTGACTGGGCGACACAAACATGGATCTGGAATATATTACCGAGTACTCGCAAAGCCAGATAATTATATTCTCCCACGATGCGATCACTGGTGCCCAGGTAGGAAATCTTAGTGTTTCTAATCTTAATGGAGCAATTGCATCAATTGCATTTCCCCTGATGGCACCAGTGTTGCTTCTGGCTCTTGGGATAATACAGTAAGAATTTGGGATGCTGCTACAAGGATCCAAATAGGTGATCCCTTACAGGGCCATACATCTGTAGTTCATTCAGTGGCTTATTCCTCTGATGTCACTAGGATTGGTTCTGCACCATATGACAAGACCATCCAGATCTGGTATACCACTGCTGGAGTTCAAATAGGAGATCCCTTGTTTAGTCATGATGATTGGATTCAATCAATTGCCTTCTCTCCTGATAGGACACAGATTGCTTCTGGCTCCGCTTGAGCTGCTTCAGAAGTTCCAGCTCTTGGGATGAAACTGTCAGGGTTTGGGATGTCACTACTGGTGTTCATAGAGGCTATTCCCTAGCCAAACAGAATAATATTGCATCATTAAATTATGATCAGAACCTGAAGTTGATAACACTACTAGGAACAAAGTTGAATGTAAGTGTATTTGCATTTATTTTTGTTTACTTTATCTAATGTCATTTCAGCAAATGGAAATTGGCATCTGTCATCAGATGGTCGGATATATTTCCCTCCGTGCCCGCATGAAATTGTCTGGATTCCACCTCAATACCGACGGAATCTCTTTCAGCCACAAAATACTCGCATCATTTCTAAAAATGAATACACTCAACTTTCATTTGAAAACTGTGTCTTTGGGGAAGATTGGGCAAAATGTTTTCAGCAGTGATTTTAGTTTATGTTCATAGGCAGGGCCAATGACAAGTAGTCAGATAAATAGAGATGGCCTTGCTCCAACTCATACTAAGGCATGAAGTAATATGCACTCATTATTTACTGTCAAAGACAATGATTGCCATGGTTAGCAGTGAAAAGGAAAATTAGGTGAAACCTTCTCTTCCGGGTAAGTCCACCGGTGCATGAATTCGAGTTTATGGCAGATTCCCTGCTTTGATTGGTAATCTTACACCTGTTATTTGGCGCCTCCTCCCGTTATGCTTCACTACTCATGTCAGTCCTTGGGAGCCTCACCTTGCGGATGGTGCATACCTTCACCGATCAATCGGTCAACTCCAATTCAACTCCTGGCTTCGTCTGGCTTGTCCCGGTGCCATACCTTTCTTGTGAGATTGTTTCTAAGTGCGAGTCACGATGATTGCGTGTTTGGGTACTTTGCCCTGTTCTCTTGAGTGGTTGTCATGAAGGGTGTAACAAGAAGCGTGAGCATTAGGGCACACACGCCCAACTTGGGGTCCCAATCCTGGCGCAGTATACACTGTATGCTTGTTCAGCTACGGTTTATCCGTCCAGCTCTGTCGTGTCGAGACATTTAAGGTTGTGATCCTCGCGGATCTGAGGTCGGTCAAAAATTTTCGTTACAACCCATCGGTACCCATCACAACTTAGAGCCTATGGAAATAAATTTTATGAAGATGATCGAAACCCTCCGCATACCTTACATATCTTTTCCTTCGGCTATAAATGAGTTCCCCCCGGCTACCTACGATTAGACAACTTGAAAGAGATGCATCAGGGAAGCTGAGATATCTGGTACGTAGAAGCCCTTAGTCTTTCAGCGGATAATGCGCAAATAAAGAAACCTAAAAATACGTCTCCAAGATTAGCTAATTCATCAGCTCGGCAGCGACCAGTTGAATCTCTTCCGCAGTAGCATCTAGAAAGAGCATCTAGAAAGAGTAGATAACGGAATATTTATTTTGAACTCCTCGTGGAGGTGACCTTGCTCAGAGCCTAGAATAGACATTCATGCTCATCGTCTCCTGGACAGAACCTAGGTCATCGTTGATCATGGTAGCGAGGATGGATCTACAGGTAATCCGGATTAAGCTTCTCTTCCCAGTGGGTCCACTGCGTGTGCCATGAGTTTGAGGTTGTAGAGCAGAAGGCTTCTGCGGCTTCGACCCGTAACCTTATTTTTTTTTAGCTCTAAGTTATAAGGTGCATCCTTTTCGCCGGGCTTCGCGACTGGCGCTCGATCCTTGGAAATTTTCAGTTCTTACCTTGGAAATCTTCAGTGGGGGGTATCTGGCACTCTCGAGAAGACGCTGCTTGACACTGACAGCTTGTCCCTGGACCAATTTATCGCTGTGCGTCATTGGAGATCTAAATAACCCGATGGAGATGAAATTGCGTCGACCACGAGCCATAAATAGCTCAGCTGAGCTAAAAATCTACTGAATCTGATGATGATTGTTGCCACCATGGCACCAATACACGTCGACAACATCGTGCTGCACAGCCCACGATCCCCTCTTGACCTTTAACCACAACTACCCACAGGCTGCACCTGCGTGTAATTTGCCTTCAACACGAGTTTAACGCTCCTAGATCGACGATATCGATAGAAGCTAGCAAGAAAAATGACAGGACACGGTGGATTAGGATCAGGAACCAATAGCCCATTCACCTCTCGTCCTGGCACGCCCAAGTTTAAAGACGTGGTAAGGCTCCAAAGAACTCTCGTTTTCTTCTCTCTTCCCCCCTTCTTTCGTTTTTCGCTATGCGTCATTCTGGCTCTGGCTTCCACCTTCCCCGTGCTAAATCGTTTACTCACGCGTTCGACCAGGTTTTGGATGTGATGAGGAATATGAAACACGAAAAGGACTCGGAGGCTCATCAGGTAGGTGCTGATGTTCTGTTGAATCAATCTCGAGCGGCTGATATCGCTCCCACCCTTCCATAGATCTTCCGTCAAGCCGCAGGTCATCAACCCAAAGGTGTTCTCCCGCAGACCATCAATCCCGAAGAGGAGACTGTCCCTGGAATCGAACATCCCGGTTCTACAGGTGTAATCTACTGTTCCGAACGTGCCATCGCCAACGGGTTCTCCTACACCGCCCAGCACGAGTGGGCCAACTTGGGCCAAGGCGCGCCAGAGGTTGGGGAGATCCCGAATGCTCCCTCTCGTCCGACCACACTCCCCATGCCAGAGGACAGTTTGGAGTACGCGCCCACGACCGGTGTTAAAGGTTTGTCTTACGCATTGTGTTATCAATCGATATAGATCATCGTTAACACCTGTTTCTCGATAGCCCTCCGTGAAGCGGTAGCTCATCTCTACAATCATACTTATCGCCAGAACAAGGCTTCTCAATATACCTATGAAAACGTTTGTATTGTACCTGGTGGAAGGGCGGGACTGAGTAGAGTAGCGGCGGTCATCGGTGACGTATATACTGTGAGTGACGCGCTTCTGGTTCCGCGTGCTTTGCTGACGTTTGTCTTTCGCTAGTCGTACCAAGTCCCGGACTACACCGCGTACGATCAAGTCCTCAGCGCATTTAAGAGATTGGTTCCTGTTCCTACTGCGTGAGTTTCCCTGATTTTCAATGAAAAACGTTATTGACGCTTGCTACATAGACTGGACCCCAGCGTAAGCCTTCCTATGACTTTTCTGTTTCACGAAAGTTCACTCCCGAAATTATGAACAGAACAAGTATCGCCTTGATATCCAACAGACCAAAGTTTGCTGCTCTTTCATGTCTGCTGCAATCGGCGGCTAACGTGAGATACCTATATAGAAAGATATCGCCACCCAAGGTCTGGCAGTTATTCTGGCTTCGAACCCGAGGAACCCGACCGGGCAAGTTATCAAGTGCGTGTACTGATCCTTTTTTTTTTACCAGACACTGATGTTGTCTCTCCTATCCAGAGGTAATGACCTAAAGGAACTCGTCGCTCTCGGAAGGGAGGGTTCGACTATCATTTTGGATGAGGTCAGTCCGTTTTCGTCTGAATCTATTTCTCCCCATACCTCTGACCTCTATCTCTCTTACGCAGTTCTACTCCTGGTACATCTATCCCGACTCCGAAAAGGACATCGGCAAAGCCGTCTCAAGCGCAGAATACATCGAAGACGTCAACCAAGACGCCATCATCATTGTCGACGGACTCACCAAGAACTGGCGCTTACCCGGCTGGCGTGTCTGCTGGGTCGTCGGACCCAGAAACCTCATCACCGCCCTCTCCCAATCCGGCTCGTTCCTCGACGGCGGGGCTAATCATCCCTTGCAGTTGGCGGCGATCCCGCTTTTGGACCCTGCGCGCGCGTACCAAGAGAGGGTGGCGCTGCAGAAACATTTCAAGATGAAGAGGGACCATGTGCTCGCGAGGTTGAAGGAGCTTCGTATGGATGTGGATGTTCCGCCAAATGCGACGTTTTATATATGGTTGAATTTGGAGAAGCTGCCGGCGCCGTTGAATAATGGGTTGGTGAGTGCTCGTCTTGCATATGGCATCGTCTGTTCGTCTTCCCCTTACTTATCTCGTTGTGCAGACGTTCTTCGAGGAACTGTTGAAAGAACAGACTATCGTCATTCCTGGCATCTTCTTTGATATCAACCCTTCGCACCGAAGGAACCTCTTCAACTCTCCTTGTCATCATTTCGTCAGGTTGAGTTTCGGACCGCCGTTGGCGGATTTGGATAAAGGTTGGTTTTCCTCCTTTTTCGTTCTTCCTGGGTCGGACTTGAGATCCTAGCGAGTTTCGGGTTGGACAAGTTGTTCATGTTGACTGATCGTTTCTTATTCCCACAGGTCTCGATGCTATGGCCCGAGTACTGAAGAAGGCTAGGAAGGAGGGCACCAAGGCGTTCGGTCATAGGTGCGTGCTTTCCCGTCGTATTCCCCTGGAATCATCGTTCTTGACCACGCATGCACTTTATAGCTATAAGAAATCCCTCGACGGCACTGAAGCTCACTTGAAGACCGTTCATCAAGTCGGTTAAGGAAGTCGCGATAGATGCACCGATACACGTCCATTACATAGATAGGGTTGGTATCGGGAGTTATTTGTGAGGCGCAAAGGCATAAATGGGAATCGGAACGATAAGTGAAAGAGGAATAGAAAATGAAAGGATAAGAAATGGACACGACCAAATTATACGCCGCCTATACTCGGGGACATCAATAGAAACAGTGTTGATAGTTTTTTTTTTTTGCTGTATGTATGTAGCTTTGTCTGATGCCGAACACGTGGAATACGTATTACTCGTGCGATAAAAACATTTTGGTGGACTGTGCTGGAGCTTCTTTGACTCTACTTAGATAATTCATTTATCCTTCGAATTTTTAGGGCCTGATGGTCTAGGAGTATGATTCGTTGTTAGGGTGGTGCCAGACATGGAATATCTTTCGACGAGGTCCCGGGTTCAATTCCCGGTCAGGCCCTTTTTCGATCCATGGATCGCTGTTTTTGCCATTCCTTTGAGAGTATCGCCTTTTTTGTGTATTTCATGGACAAGATTGTTTTTCGGCGGGCTAAGCTTGCGTGGTTTCTTGGTTTCTGGCATATAATCTCATTAAGTATCCCGAATGTAAATAACTTTCATCGATATCGCCACATCAGTTTACGACCGTGAGGGTTCCCGATGCCAAGAAAGGGAGAAAATTTGCGCCACATAACTGTGGCGGTCCTCAGCCTACCTATACTGGCGCTGATGCAAAGATCCAATAGCTCTCAGTCCATTGGCTACTGAGCTCTGGTCTGCTTCGGGACGACATTGGAAATTGCTCGTTGATTTCCCAATCAAGCCAGAGAAATTAAAATCGCGCGTACCTTCACGGTCGTATCTGGAGCCGGCTCAAGAAATCGAAGAGTATAAAACGACCTCCCCCCTCAAGTTGTAGCCCCACGAGCGTACTGCTGGTTCAGTCACTCAGCTCGCTTCGGTCGTGTCTCAGCTTTGCTCAAAAGTCTTGTTAGAAAACTTCAGCCTCGACATCGCGATGCGATTCATTACCAGTGCATATCTCGGATTCCTTCTGCTGGGTCTCTTTGCGGTGTGGGCGACACCTGTTCCTCCGGTGAGCCCCTGCATGATCATTAGAATTTAACCTTCTTGTGGCGATTCTTATTGCATACGCTCTAGGCAAAACAAAAATCTAATTCTGACCCTCTTATCGGAACGGGACCCAACGACCATGAGATGGTCGAGATTCACACGCCCAAAGACCCCCTCAAAATACGTTTCGCCACAAGCTTACCAAACTGGCTGCAGAAATACGGACCTGCCAAGGCAAAATACTCCAAACCCCAATTTCCGGCAGAGGGGACCGGGGGAAACCAACAAAAAATCAATGAGGCCGCCAAAGAACTCGTCGAACGGTTCTTAACCCCCGCTGCGATATCAAAACTGAACGGCAAGCCTGGAAGTAAATTAACTTTCCAGAACGATTTTCCCTTCCAAAATTTTGCCTTTTTCCGCCAGTCCGGGCTGTATATCATAACCTTCAATGTTGAGGGCGGAGTGTGCGCCCCAAAATATTGTGCTGGGTTTGTTTTGCATAAGGAGCCTCCTGGTTCGCAAGGTGGAGATTTCGGTGGAGAGATATTGGATGTAGATACGACAAAACCAAAGTACTCGTTGTGAGTCGCTTAATTTTCAGTCATTTCTCGGTTTTGATGATGGATCACTAACTCCGATCCTGCAGCTACTCAAACCCTGATCTTAAGCCGGAAAAATGGAAAATTGGAAATTCATCATAGCGTGTAAATCTCCATCGATAATTTAAATGCAGTAACGTTGTGCTATTCCCTTGAGATCCGTTCGAAGTAGTTCGTTACTGTCAGACCAAATAATTCGCCAATATTCAAAGAGATCGCACGGCTGACCAGCGACATACAAACTTCAATAAGAGTCTTTGAGGGTGATCTGCTGTAAGAGACATATGTACTACATACTTGCGCCACATTTTACTACCTGGCCCAAAATGCAGTCACAGCATGGTTTGGCAAGCATTGAACCTGCCTAGAGATTAAATGAAAAGTTAATCAGATGTACGGTACAAGTTCCATAGTTGGTGTTCTTCCTTCGTCATCTCACAAAATTACCAATTATCCCTGATATAACTCCAGGCTTCTACAAACTTCCGCTGCCCTTGAAACTCGCCAAAGGAGCTGCTTGTCGCGAAGTTCGAATGATTGCTGTAATAAGCAGGAAATTGAGCAATCGCCCAAATATGAACAATCTCATAACGGCTGACAATCGATCAATATATTTAGCGTGAAAGAGAAAAGGGCTCACTTTTCTGCAGGAGCGATAAGCTGTGAATGATTTCAGGCATTAGCATTAAGCTTTACATTCATCAAAGGGCCGATTACCCACCTGATGACCGCCATATTCAACAGCCTCCTGATTGAGCCAGCCAACCAGATATCGAATCCTAGCTATTGGGACGATAAACAATAGATTAAGCTCTCATAATTCTTAACTCACCATTCTCCCTTTCTTTTCCCAAGAGCAAAAATTCCTTTCCATACCGACCTCCCGCTTCTTTCACTCTGTCCCAATGCAATGCCCACATGTTCTTCGTTGACATTATTTTCGCCTGACCCGCCCAGACTTTGGCAAGAGCAGAAGAGGTATATTCGGAGAATGAAAAGATTTCAGTACCGGTATTGACTGTGGCGGTCCAGCGTTAATGAGTGTTACACGCAAACATGGACGTGCTCACCATTTATGAAACCGATCGTTGGTTCCTCAATATAGAATATATCTAGATGCAAGCTTCTGATATGTGATCCGTCCGTAACAAGGGGCTGAGGCTTCCCACTTTCGATTGGGATCGTCTCGTTGGGATGAAGGGAAGCATTGTGGTATTGCGGGAGGAAAGGGAATGCGTATCGGTATCCTGCATCAGATTAGTAAATGGTGCGGACGAAAGCCATTGAGATGGAAACTTACCAGTAGCAAATATAATCCGATCAAAACCGTGTAGTATCTTCCATCCAATTTAACTTTAAGATTACACCTTCATGCAAATTTGAACTCACTGTGCCATCCACTAGCTCAATGACTCCAGCCCGAAGGCCCTCATCAACATCAGGCAATGGGTAAAAAGTCTTGATCTCCGAAATGATAGATACATTCTGTGGCACCCTAGAGAGGTATTGCTTTCTTCCCTCGTTCAGGGCGGAGGCTAGACAGATAGATCATCGTCAAGCAGCGATACCACCGGAAGGAGGAGACAGGGCGATTAACTTACTACCTCCCGATATTCTGATACTTAAGTAAACCTTCGATGCCGTTGCGCTGATCATTTGAGCAATCTCCGTCCCACTTATTGAACCACCGATGACCAGCACAGTCTGATTAGTGAATTCCTCAGGATATCTATACTGGCGAGAGTGTGTAAGAAGTTTTGGATAAAGGTTCGCCCACTCTTCAATGCCTGAAATTCGAGGAATATTAGGCGCGCCGTAACGTCCTGAGGCTACTACGACGGCATCAAAGTCCTGTTCAAATAATTTGGTGAGATAGCAATCGTAAATATGTGCGGTAGGTAGAATTATGCGTCTCGCCGGTGCGTCACGCGTTTTACGGTGCGTATGTGCGTATGCGTATGCGTATGCGTATGTGCGTCAATTGATTTTTATCAAAGCTGATTAAATATGTTTTTTTACCAATGTTACCTTGTATGTCGTCGTAATTATTATACAATCAAATGATTAACTACAATTATAACCAATTCTTTGGATATATTTCTTGAAATTGAAGGTAAAAAAACATTAATTAACTCAATTTAACATATACGCATCACGCATTTTTTCGTGTGACTTGAACGCATTTGACGCATCTTGTCCCTGATGCGTTTGAATGCATACAGATGCGTATCAATGCGTATACGCATCGGCGCTGAACGCCCAATCAAATGCGTCAATTTTTTTCCCGGTGCGTCAAATGCGTCAAGTGCGTCAAGTGCATAACCGGTGCGTCAAGCATGCGTGTTACTAATTTATGCCCTATCAATGATAAGCTTATTAGCGTGCATGGCTACTCCAAGTCAATGTGACTCAATACATAGATTTCGGGATATTTTATTATACATGCAATCGTTTCCCCTACAATTTAGCTTTTAAATACTCAATTCATGATGCAGCTGCGACTTCGTAAGTTCTGCTGCTGTCTCCCTGCTCTATTACATAACGAATACATACTAGTGCCAATGTCTTCGGTATGTTATGAGCTTGTTGATTGATTAAGTATGCGGCTAACTCAAGATATCTATT